CCCGAGTCCCTAGGTGTGACTTGTCTGTGTCTGCTGCCCCTCTCTATTTCACAGTAGTACCGAATGAATGAGTTTCTCTGGGAGTCAGTATGATGTGTCCTATATTCATGACTTGCCCCATTTCTGTGACAAAATACACAACAGAGGCAACTTAAGGAAAAGAGGGTCCAGTCCATCATCGTGGGGAATCATGACAGCAGGGTGGCTGGTCACTTCACTTCCGGAGAGAGGAAGCAGAGAAAGAGATGCAGATACCCCACTCACTTTCTCCTTGTCATTTAGTCTGGCGCCTCAATCCATGGGAATTCCTGGTGGGTCTTCCCCAGTTAAACCTCTAGAAACACCCACACAGAAGTGTGTTTCCATGGTGATCCTAAATCCAGTCACATTCACAGGGAAGAGTAGTCAACTCATAAGCAAAGCGCACTTCCCTGGACCATGCCCCATGGAGGGGCAGCCTCCATGGATAGCCTTTGTCTTCCCAAATGTGGAACATATTTAACCGTGGGTCAATGGATGGCAGATGAGGAGCTGAGTTAGTGAGCTAATGGAGTGACGCAGTTGTCTTTGTCAAAGGCACTGGACACATTATCACTACCTCAACATCCCTGTGTGAAAAGCTCCACAAGGACTAAGGCTAAGCTAGAAGGGACATCTAGACATGACTTGAACAGAGATCCAATGGGTTCCAAATTATAGTATAATAAGAAAGTGAACTAAGCTGGACACGGTGGTACATGCCTGTGATCCCAGCACTCAGGAGGCTGAGGCAGGAGGATAGTGAGTTAGAAACCAGTCTGCGCCAACAAAAGCATTCAAGGCCATTCTGGGTTATATAGCAAGACTGACCATGCCTTCACTCCCCTCCCCAAAGAAAGTGGGCATTGAGTCCTGCCTATGAGCTGCTAATATTGGGGAGGCTTTTGTGTTTTGATTTTTGTTGCTTGTTCTTGGTTTTGTTTTTGTCCTTGTTTTATGAGCATGAGGGGTTGGCCTCAGGCCTTCTCACATGCCAGGTAAGTGCTCTACCACTGAGACAAGCTCTCAACTCTCCTCTTATTTTTTATTCTGAGGCAGGGTCTCAACTAAGTTAGCCAGACTAGCCGTCGACTCAGTCTGTAGCCCATGCTGGCCTTGAACTTGGAATCCTCGTACCTCAGCCTTCTGACTATGTGGGACTGCGATACCATCTTTATCCTACCTACAATATATTTCTAAGCATATACTGGCTGCCCCTGGTCCGTGCTTCTTCTTTCAAAATAGTGGCCTCAGCACCCTGGACAGCGCCAGTCATTGTCCATGTTTGTGGAGTGAATGGCTGAATACTGGGTGGGACAGCTCCTTCCCCTACACACGGCAGGTGCCCCAAACCCTCACATTGCCCTTGGCTTTCAGTCTTCAGAGTACAATGACTGGAAGTTCAGAAACAACCCCACGTTCCTGGAGGTGCTGGAAGAGTTCCCGTCGCTTCGCGTGCCTGCTGCCTTCCTGCTGTCGCAGCTCCCCATTCTGAAGCCCCGCTACTACTCCATCAGCTCCTCCCAGGACCACACCCCCTCAGAGGTCCATCTCACTGTGGCCGTGGTCACCTATCGGACCCGAGGTGAGGCAGGCAGACTCTGATGTCATCTGCACCTGTTACGTCTAGGGCAGCCCTGCTAGCTTGCTTTCTGCTGCTGTGACAGACAGGTACCATGGCCACCTCCACTACAAGTTAGGAGAAGAAGGGGTTTGTTTAGCTTACAGGTCACAGTCCATCACCAAGGGAAATCAAGGCAGGAGCTTGAAGCAGAAGCCATGGAGGGACGTTGCTTACTGGCTTGTCCCCTCTTGCCTCCCCAACTAACTTCCTTATACAACTAAGGACCACCTGCCCAGGGACAGACTGTCCTCCATCAATTAGCAGTCAGGAAAATGCCCCACAGACATGCCCATGGGCAAGTCTGGCAATTCCTCAATTGAGGGTCCCTCTTCCTGGGTGTGTCAAGTTGATGGCCAATATTAATCACCCTGGCTGCTGTTCAACACCTCGGAGTTTTGGTCTTTATTGGCTACATGGTGCAGTGGCAGCCACCTTCGAGGGTTATCAGTAATGTGGGAAGCTGTGTAGGGTGCACTTTTAGCATGAAGCTCACCCCTTTGTTTGCCATCCATAACTGAGAGATGACTTCCATGTGCATTTTACAGGGGAGGAAAAAGAGGCATGGAGTGCTTAACTCACTTGTTCCAAGTCACCCTGTTAATAACTAGAGATTAGAGACAGGGAGTCTAGCTCTGAATCTAAGTGCTGGACCACTGTTACAGTCTCTGACTATTGAATAGGCTCAGATGTGAAGAGCCTTGAACTCTTGGGGAACCCAGTTATTCCTGGCCATCCTAATGATGTAGCCCAAGGCAGGGAGTTTTTGTATAGATTGTTCACTCCCACGATGCTCTCATTCTGTGATGGCTATGTCCCATCTCCATGATGGGGGCCACACAGAGTGTGGAAACTGCCCACAGACCCTGCTCTCATAGAGTAGCCATAAAGACAGTAAAGAGTTCAGGCATGGAAATACTTAGAGATATGGCTGTGTAGGTGCCCATAGGCAATGGGGGAGTGAGTGGGGAGTGTGTGGTTACCATAGACTAGGAGATCCAGTGTTCTGTCCACTTAGCCTTGGATCCTGCACTGGGTGGGCTCGGCTCCCTGTTCTAATGTCTGTAACTGAGCTCTGTCTGGGCTGGAAGAGCTGGGAAGGGTCTGTATCTCAGAGCCTTCTCTTCTTAGCACAGAGCACATTTTCTAAATACTAGGCAGAGCCTGTAGACTGACCACACCTCATCATTGGGTGAACCCTGAGAAGGCAGATTTATGCAAGACAGAACCAAAGGATTATTCAAGTTGCTGGAGGCCTCCTTTACGTGTCTGGTCATGCGGCAGTTAATGTAACCCAGAGGAAACTGGGGTACCTACAAGTCTGGGAATGGCTGCTGGGGAATCCTGAGACACTAGAAGAGGCTGTGGGGGTTGGGGAGGGTGGAAGACCCATCTCTCATCCAGGGCTCCTACTGGCAAAAGCCTCCTTCATGAGGCCACTCTGGTGGCGAGCCCTGGGGGATCACGTCACACTGATGTGGGAAGAGCCTTGGCAAGGCTGCTGAGAGAGCCCCTAGACAAATACTTGGGAGATGCTCTAGAGCAGTGGTCCTCAACCTTCCTAATAGCGTGACCCTTTAATACAGTTCCTCATGTTGTGGTGATAAAATTATTTTTATTGTTTCTTCATAACTGTAATTTTGCTACTGTTATGAATCTTAATGTTAATTCTGATATACAGCCCCTATGACAGGGTCATTTGACCCTTGAAGGGGTTGTGACCCACAGGTTGAGAACCACTGCTTTAGATCAAGAGTGAGGGACATCAGCATGGACGTGCGTCCATCATGACTTTAGTCACCTGCCCCTTTCTCTTCTCTGTGACTCTGTCTGCAACAGCAATTGCTCATCAGGTCCCTTTCAGCCTTCCCTGCTCTGTGTGGAGAGTTGGGAGAGAAGGTGACTCCTCATTTAGGAACTAGGCACCCAAAAGGGCTTGGCAGTGCAGGAAGAGCACCCAGGTGGGTTGTGTGAAGGCCATGAGAGTTGTTGGTTAGGTCTGTGCTGTCCTCACAGATGGTCAGGGTCCCCTGCACCATGGTGTCTGCAGCACTTGGATAAGTAGCCTGAAGCCCCAGGACCCAGTGCCCTGTTTTGTGAGAAGGTAAGCACCCACCCAGGGCCCTTTGGAACCCCTGGGGATTCTGCAATAC